ATACCCCCCGAGAGAGCCCGACCAAGACGCCCCCAAGACAGCTTCGAGACGGCCCCGAGGTGGCGCAAGGCCAGCCCAAGATGGCCACAGGAGACCTCACAAGACTTGAAGTTAGCAGTTAGCCCTAACAGACCCTAATAGAGCCCAGAAAAGTCCCAAAATAGCGTCAAGAGAGCCCAGCCAGGACCCCAAGAGGGCCGCACGACGAGCCCAACATGGTTGATTGTTGTGAAGGCCTCACGGCCCGTGCCGCCGACACAGAAGGACGACGACGATGACGACGACGACGACGACGACGACGACGACGACGACGACGACGACGACGACGACGACGACGACGACGACGACGACGACGACGACGACGACGACGACGACGGCGGCGGCGGCGGCGGCGACGACGACGACGACGACCACCACCACCACCACCACCACCACCACGACGACCACGACGACGACAACGACGAGCTGATGATCCTGCCACAGGCTTGGACATAGGGCGAGCGGCCGGCGCTGGAGGGAGGGAGGGAAGGAGGGAGGGAGGGAGTGAGGGAGGAAGAGGAGGAGGAGCAGGAGGAGGAGCAGGAGGAGGAGGAGGAGGAGGAGGAGGAGCAGGAGGAAGGAGGGAGGAGGAGGAGGGAGGGGGAGGAGGAGGAGGAGGAGGAGGAGGAGGAGGAGGGGGGGAGGGGGAGGAGGAGGAGGAGGAGGAGGAGGAGGAGGAGGAGGAGGAGGAGGAGGAGGAGAAGGAGAAGGGGGAGGGAGGAGGAGGAGGAGGAGGAGGAGGAGGAGGAGGAGGCGAACTCTGTGTGCGCCTCGGCTACGCGCCGTGTGTCTCCTTTGGGGGCGGGCGTCTGGGAGGCGACGGGCCTGGGGCCGTGGGCGTGGCTGGAGGCGGCAGGGCCAGAGCCGGGGCCGGGGCCGGGGGCCCGGGCCAGCCAGGGGGCTGGGGCTGGAGCCGTGGCCAGAGCTGGGGCCCGGGCCGGGGCCAGGGCCGGGGCCAAGGTTGAGTCGGGCCTGTCCCTCTACAGAAGGATTTTCGACGAAAATGAAAAAATCCCCCAAAATTGTTCAAAATAGTCAAAAAATGGTCCGGGGACTATTTGTTTAAAATATGTTTGGGGCATTTTACCGGTATTCTTGAAGATGCTTTTGATTTTTCGTCGAAGATCCTCCTGTAGGGGGACACGCCTGACTGTAAGGCCAGGGCCGGGGCCTGAGCTGTGGCCAGAGCCGGGGCCGGGGCTGGGGGCGGAACCAGGGCTGAGCTGGGTCCGGGGCCGAGGCGGAGGGAGGCCCCCTGTGCTCCACAGGGGGGGCCGCCTGGGGGAGGGGAGGGAGGGCCGCCAGGCCCCCATGCAGGGGGGGGCGGCAATCTGACTGGGACCCCCCTCCTACCCCTCCCCCCTCTTACCCCCCCCCCGCGTCAGGGAGGGGAAAAAGGGGAGGGAGTCGACTTAGCTACGACATCTCTTTTTTCTGTTCGTTTCTGGATTCCCTTGGGACTGGCGACGACGACGACGAAGACGAAGACGAGAGCGTCTCGCACACGCCTGGGTTTAAAGACAGCCGTCTGAGAATCATCAACCGTGCCAAGAACCAATCATGAGACTTCAACGCCAAGAATCAACGCGACTGTTACGTCCTGACGATCCTAAACCATGCCAGGACACCGTTGCTGGGACTTCAACACAGCGAATCAATATAAAATAAATGCTGCGTACTGACAATCCTAAGTCCTGCAATGCCGCCAGTCCTGGGAGTTCAGCCATGCGAACCCTTGAATAGAGTGTAAACGATTGAAACAAATGCGCGCGGCGCTAGGGGAGAGCCACGCTTCGAAAAGGAAAAGCCTACCGTCCAGGACACTGCTGGAGTTCTTGAAGATGAAAGTGCGCGGCGTTAAAGCGAGAGCAATATCTTCGAAACGGGCCGCCCCCCATCCTTGAAACTGTTAAGACGAATGTGCGCGGCGCGAAGGCGAGACCCACGCTGTGAAAACCACCCGCCCTCCATGCTAGAACTGGCCCAAAGTTCAAGACTGAAACCATAAACGGTGAGGAAGTCTCTGGCGAAAAGCCCGGCTCGCCTTATCGACGCGTGTGGGTATGTACCGGGGAGGAGCTATGGGCAGGGGGATTGGCGGGAGGAGGAAGAGAGGAATGAGGGAGGAGGACGAGGAGGAGGAGAAGGAGGAGGAGAACGAGGGATAGGAGGGAGGAGGAGGAGGATTCAGAGGAGGAGGAGGAAGAGCGACGACTGATGACTTGCTTGCTTGCGAGTCGTGCACCAGGCGGTGCGTGGACAGACAGAACGCGTAGAATACAATAGACAAGGCATTCGGGCAATCATAGTGCGATAATGTGATGGCGCAGCGTGCGCTTCCAACCCGATTCTGATTGAATTTCGTCTATAGTCGCGTGATGACTACCAAACATGCCGACAGCCTGCTTCAACACAGTCGGGGCGAACTCCCTGCACGGCCCACATATACGCCGCATTCTGGCCGCTGTCGCCGGCGTGAAAGACTACGGTGCGAACGTGGTGCGACGAAGCAGATTGTCCTTTCGAGCTAGCGCAGCACATCGCCGAATAGAAGCATCTGCCTGTATAACAGCAGGGTGTTCGCACTCGTTGCGCACGACTCAGAACTTCTGCGTTCAGTATTCTGGACAGCCACGACGGCTTGATGCCAAGAATCCGTTTGATGCACCTGTTCTGGAAACCAGCCAGGCGACGTGTTTGGGCCTTGTCCAAGCATGCTCCAGCGAGCCCATAAAGCAACGCCAATTCAACCACCGAAGAGGAAATATGTAATTGCTGTCCCCACGTCAACGAGGAATGGTACCACAATTTATTGAGCGACGAAAGCACCCTGTTTGCTTCGCCGATCTTGCGCCCTAGTTCTGGCATGCGTCTGCGTCGGCTGACAGATGCGCACTGAAGCTGCCTGACATGCTTGAGCGTTGTTCATCGGGGGCATGAACGTCTCCTTTCGCCCTCACAGCAAGGATCTGGAATTTACCCCAATGCAGATCCAGACCATACTTGCGACCCGCGTCAGAAATTGCCTTCAAATCTTCATCTAGGGCAGCGTCGTCTGATCCAACAAGCAGGGTGTGGTCCGCGTAGGTGCACTCCCACAAGTTCCCCCTGATGTAAGCATCTTTCGCACCACCTTCAGGAGACCGGCAGCGTCGTGCAACGGCCCTGTCGTCACAAGGATAAACAATAGCGGGCTGAGATGCTTACTGTTGCGGTTTTGGAGCAGAATCGTTCCCACACTCGCTCACGACGAACATCCTCTCCACCATCATCACACGTATCATGTCGCGAAATCCGTCGGGGATCCCTAGCGGCTAGCGGCTAGGGTTTAGCCTGCTGAGCGCGTCCAGTAAGCTGTCAATGTGGACGCTGTCGAAGACTTTCTTCCAATCGAGAGCCACGAGAGTAAGTGAGCCATGTTTTTGTTGCCCTTGCGAACTCTACGTGACGCCTCGCTGCCTGAATGGCGTGCTCAGTGCTGCGCCCAGCCCATAATCTGCATTGTGTTGATCATAATATGTCGTCGATGGCAGCGTCCAGCAGTCTTGCCTTCAGCATTGCGGAGAAGACTTGCATTGCGATGCACTGCAAGGATGAAGGACGATAGTTGACGCGAATTGCTGGGTCCCCATGCTGGTAAAACACACAGACACACACTTTCGATGCGTTCCGTGCTGTTCCACGCTTCGTTACAGATGTCGAACAACCGCTGCAATTACCCAGGTTCTTCGGCTGGCCCCTCGTATACCTCTGCTGGAATGTCGTCTGGGTTACAGCTTGTTCCAAAAGGCAGGCGTTGCAAAGCTTTCGGGAGCTCCATATCTGTGAACATACCCAAATTGATATTCAAGCGGGAATGAATCACGTCCTCCATGTCTGGCGTAAGAGTGATGCGACATTCCACTGAATCGTGTTGAGGTGTTGCGCAACAATAGTCTCTGCTGGCTCGTCAGTTGCGACGGGGCCACCCGCGCTGTTATTCAGCTGGCCTTGCAGTCTCGATGTCCATGCCATGATGTGTTTTTTATGTAGATCCAATCGCCAGAGAGCAGAAAGGCATTCCAATCATCTCGCACGATCTCGTCTTGCAGATAGTTTGACCGACTTCCCCCAAACGAAATCTGATTCCCAATCTCCGTCGACGCGCGCCTGCCGCCAGTCATCCAGCAGAGACAGCGTGCGTTCAGAGATCCACGGCTTATTTTGCTTACGCGCCACGTCCGGCACAACGGCGTTTACGTTGCCAACACATTGCACGAAGTAGATTGCCAACGCTGGGACAGAGAGCCTCGGCGACGCAACGACGTTGTCATGCGCGGTACCTCTTGCGACAAAGACTTTCGTCCGGAAGAAGACCGGAGTTTCCCCCCAAGACTATTGTCCGGAAGAGACCGGCTCTGCTTCGTCACTTGTCTTGTGTCCAATTCTGACGCGGTGTGGCAGCTTGGGAAAACTTCGGCGCCACTTCCGTACACCCTCCTTGCCCTTTGGTCAGCCGCTCCCTTTCCTACCCTCCCGGCCCCCTCCATCCTTTCATTCCTTCTCACCCCACCCCCTCCTCCCCTTCTTCACCCCTCCGTCCACCCTCTCATTCCCCCCTCCCTCCTTCCCCCATTCTTCCTACCTCTTGGTTAATTGCACCTCCCCCACTTGTCCTCCCCTCCCTTCTCTTCCGTCTTTCTCCTCCCTCCGCACCTCTCCTCCGGTCTCTCCCTCCTCCCATGCTTTCATTTGGTTAATTATTTCCTTCGACGCCACTTTCGTGCACCCCGCTTGCCCGTGGGTTTAGTGTATACCCCCGTCCTCTTCGATGGGAGGGAGCCCGAACGGACGAAGTTGAAGCACAAGAGGATCGATCTCGCTGCGTCCCAGATCCATTGGCCAAGCAGTCGTATGACAGCATAAGACAGAGGCGCTTGGTGATTGTCTGCCTCGGTCTTCCCGCGACTGCGCCCTTTCAGTTTGGTATTGTCGACCAAGTGATGCTGAGCTTGAATAAGGAGGGCTTCAAATTCACCAAGGTCCGGCTGCGCACACTCAAGATCCCAGAAGTTGGCGACAAGTTCGCGTCACGACATGGCGGGAATTCTCTGCCAGCGTCTCAATCTAGCATCATCGATTTGTCGTTATCCCGTTGTGCCTGCACACATGTTCCTATCTGCGTCTCGTTATCAACACACATGTGTATATATATATATATATATATGTATACACGTATTCTCATACGCACCTCTCCGAGGGAGTAGAGTTCAGAGGCGATTAATGCGCACGCGTCCGCGATGTTTCTGGGCGTTTCGCTCGGGACATCCTCGAAATTCTGAAAATCGGTGGCACCCCTCACGCAAATCGCGACGTCAGGGTCCAAAAACACATGGGAAATTCAACATGTTAACATAAAACCTTCAAAAACACATAGTAATTTCAATAATTGTGACCCCGATTCTCAGTGAATGGCGGTTTCGCTTGAAAAATCCTTCCAAAATCGAGCCCCAGACCCCGCCTCGGAGCCTCCTGGGGGCCTCCTGGAACCTCCTGGGGCCTCCTGGGCCTTCTGAACCTTCTGGCACCCCAGACCCCGCCTCGGAGCCTCCTGGGGGTGTCCTGAAACCTCCTGGGGCCTCCTGGGGCCTCCTGCGGCCTCCTGGAGCCTCTTGGGGCCTCCTGAAGCCTCCTGGGGTCTCCTGGGGCCTCCTGAGGCCGCCTGGGGCCTCCTGGGGCCTCCTGGGGCTTCAGAACTACATGCACACAGAGACACAAATCACGCCCAACACATCACACGCTAGACAAACATACACACACACACACACAACACCTACAACACACAAAAAGCACGCACCACACGAAGCATACATCACACACACACACACACACACGCACAACACTCACAATCCTGGGGCCTCCTGGAGCCTCTTCTGGTATCCAAGTCGGGCCTCCTAAGGCTTCCTGGGGGCCCTGGTACACACATCGCAAGGTGTGGCAACCCCACTTGCGCTCGAGTGCGACTTCGATGTTGCATTTCACTCCTGCTTCAAACGCCCCTTCAGTTTTTTGTATGAGCCTGGGCACACACGTGCCACTTGTATATATATATGTGTGTGTACGTCGCACCCCGCAGTCGCGGATAAGAGTGAGGGGGCGGCGGGGACGTCTGCCGTCTGCAAAGCTCTGAAGAAGCCCGCCACAGGCGCCTAATTGTTACAAAGTATAAAACGAGCTCGCCGCAGGCGCCGGTCTTCGCTAAAGCAATGTGAGTGGGTCGCGGGGTGGGTCGCGGGTGGGTTCCGGGTGGATCGCGGGTGGGTCGCGGGGTGGGTCGCGTGTAGATCGCGGGCGGGTCGCGGGTGGGTCGCGGGTGGGTCGCGGATGGGTGGCGGGTGGATCGCAGGCGGATCGCGGGGTGGGTCGCGGGTGGGTCGCGGGTGGGTCGCGGGGTGGGTCGCGGGCGGGTCGCGGGTGGGTCGCGGGCGCGTCGCGGGGTGGGTCGCGGGTGGGTCCATGGCGGGTCGTTGGGGGGACGATGCAATTTCGCCGTGGATCCCCACTTCAGCTACGCACCCAGGGACAGTGAATGACCAGCCCTTCCATTTTGATATAGTATATAGATGTATGTATGTATATATATATATGTTTATATACACTCTGATGTCGTCTCGCCCTTTGTTCCGACTCGCGGCATTACGTCTTGTGGAGAGCGCCTCGGCCACCAGGGCAAGTTCCGCCTCGGACGCAGAGTTGGCCGTCGGTCTGCCGCGGTGCCCGCCTCGTCTACTCGGGCGCATTCAGAAGAAACGGCGCGGCGAAATCTACATATATACATACAGACATTCATGTATTCATTTGTAAATCATTAACTAATCACGTACACACAAACAGACAACAGACAGGCAGACAGACAGACAGGCGGACACACACAAATACATACATACAGACAGACAGACAGACATGCATAATTGTATACATATACATACATACATACATATAGACATACATACATACATACATACATACATACATGCATACCAGCATACACTCATACATACATACATGATCAGACATGCATGCATGCATGCAATGATGCACGCTGCCACCTACACACATACATTCATGCAGACATACGTACATACATCAAATATCATAAGTGCATGCACGCATACATCGATATATACACGCACACACATACATACATTCATGTAGACATGCGTGGATATCAGCATGCGTACACATACGTAAATACATGCATGCATATACGCGTGCGTGCATGCATGCATGGTTGTAATCATGTGTGCATGTGTTGGCCTGTCTGTATGCATGCATGTATGTATACGTATATCCATACATGCGCGCATTAATACATGCATGCATGGATGCATAGACGCATGTATTCGTGCATGTCTAGATATATGTATACGCATATGCTAACATACACACATGCATATGTATACATGCATAGATGCATACGTACACACCTCACACATACATACACAAATTCACGCATGCATGTATGCATCCACGCAGACAGACATACAGACAGACATCAATACGTACACACATATATCTACATGCAAGCATGTATGCATGCATGCATACATACATTCATGCATGCATACATACATACATACATACATACATAGATACATACATACATGCATGCATACATACATACATACATACATACATACATAAATGTGTTGGAATACAGGATCGGGGGCCTTCACCCAGGTGCCTCATGCCGCCATGGTTGATCCGGGCTCCCCAGGGACCCTTTGTAGCGGCCCGAAAGCCGCCCAGACGGCCTTATGTGGCGTCAAAGAGACACCAGAAGGCTTCAAGATTTGGCCCGGTGGCTTCCAGACGGCCCCAGATAGTTTCAGGACGGCCTAAGAGGACTCGACGAGCGCTCCCCAGAGGGCCCCCAGAAGCAAAAACAAATGATTTGCCTTATGTTCTCCCATGTGTTTGGGGTTCTCGGCTTTTCAAGCTTCCGACGCTCCACGACGTCCCAAGAGGCCCCCAAGATGGCCTCAAGACCGCCCAAGAGGCCCCCAAGACGGCTCCAGAGGCGCCGAAGAGGGCCTCAAGACGGTCCTAAGAGGGGCCCAAGAGGTAAAAAACAATGATTGTCAAGAGCAAGAGCCCGAAACGACATTTCGAGCATCCCGCATCCCAAGATGTCCCCAGACGGCCCAAGAGGACTCGACGATCGCTCCCCCAGAGGGCCCCAGGAGGCAAAACGAACGATGCTCCGAAGATGTTCAACTATTCTGGAGGCTCTCGACTTTTCGAACTCCCGACGCTCCACGACGGCCCAAGAGGCCCCCAAGACCGCCACAAGATGGCCCAAGAGGGCACCAAGACGAGGAGGAGGAGGAGGAGGAGGAGGAGGAGGAGGGGGAGGAGGAGGAGGAGGAGGAGGAGGAGGAGGAGGAGGAGGAGGAGGAGAGAATAGGACAGAAGAGGAGGACGGAGGAGGAGAAAAAAGGAGGAGTAGGAGGAGGAGGACGAGGAGGAGGAGGCCCAGAAAGGTAAAAACCAATGATTGTTTGGTTGTTCAATGTTCTTGTGGGTCTCGACTGTTCGAGCTTCCGACGCTCCACGACGTCCCAAGAGGTCTCCAAGACCGCCCCAAGAGGCCCCCAAGAGGCGCCCAAGAGGGCCCCAAGATGCCCAAAGAGGGCCCCAAGACGGCCCTAGAGGCATCCAAGACGCCCCAAAAGAGCCGCGAGACGGCCCCCAGAGAACCCCACATTTGACACAAACCGTTTCTTCATCAAGGCCGGCGTTGTGCTGAATGTAGAGTTGTTGGGTCTCTTGTGCCGCTCTTGGAGGTTCCTTGGCGCCTCTTCGGGCCCTCCCAGGCCGTCCTCTAGAGCTCTGCTGGGGACATTTGGGAGTTTCAGGAGAGCCCCAGGAGGGCACCAACTCTAACACGAATTCAACACAAATCGCAGCCTCGTCAGTGACGGCGTTGTGTCAAATGTATGTTGCATTGTTGGGTCGCCTGGGGTGCTTCCGCTCCCTTGGAACCCCTTCGAGCCCTCGCAGCTCGTCTTGGAGAGCTCTCCTGAGAGCCGGTGGTTGTCTCAGGCGAGCCCCGAGAGGGCTCAAAGTGTAACACAAAGCTTCACACAACACCGCCCCTGACGACGCAGCGGCTTGTCTTTTTCAACGTTGTGTCAAGTGTTCCGCCTTCTTGGAGCCCTCCCGAAGCCGCCCGAGGTCCCGAGGACGGCCTCAGAGGCCTCGAAAAGGCTTTGGAATTCAACACGCATTTAAAACATAAGCGTGTCCTCCTCCTCCTCCTCCTCCTCCTCCTCCTCCTCCTCCTCCTCCTCCTCCTCCTTTGAGGACGGGCTTTTGTCAACGTTGTGCTGTTCTGATGTCTCTCCAGGGGCGCTCCCGGCGCTGCCTTAGGGGCCCTTTCGAGCCCTCCCGGGCCGTCTTGGACATGTAGGACGGAGCGCAGCATGCGCCCGAAGTTTTTCTCCAGAAGCATCCGAGCGATGTTTCTGGAAGAGGCTTTTGCCTGGGGGGCCTCTCCTTTTTTTTCGGGGGCGGCAAAGAGGGGGGTGATGACTAGGGGAGGGTGGATATCATGGCGTGGGCCATGATATTTCCCCAGATTTCATGGCGCCTCTTCTCATTTCATTACGTCCCTGGCCCCCCCGCTGGGCCGCGCACATGCCGCCGGTCATGATTTGCACCCCCCCCTCTTGGACACCCCCCTTTTGGCCGCTCCCGAGTATGTCTCGGGGGCGGACAGAGCCCCCAACAATGACACCTCGATTAGTGGACTGTCCGTTTTCGGTTCTCGAGAGGGCGCCGCGGCCGTTATTCTCCAGGCTTGCGCCCGCCAGGTTTGGGCCTCAGGTCGTTTTCACAAAACCACGTTTTACTAAAGGGGGGTCTGTCCATCCCCGAATGTCGGGCATCGTGGACGAGCGCAAGGTCCACCGACAACGATAGCGCTTCATGCATACACGTATCTACGTTTGCCGGTATACTTCATACAGAAATACATAGAGAGAGAGAGAGAGAATAACATTAGAGAAAGAGGGAGAAGGAGATAGAGAGCGATGTACATTGCTCGCTCTCTCCCTCTCTTTCTCCACATATCTCTGTACTCATCTGGTCGTCATTCGATAATCCCACGTCTCGATGACACTGGGCGTAAGTAAGTTTTAGTTGTTCCCATCTGTATCGTCTAGTTTCGCCTCGTCGTCGCATCTGGGCCATCTGCTCTCGCGACTTGGATTTGTACCCGCATTCCTGTGTGTGGTGCAGATTGTCTCTCGTTGGGCATGATTTCTTTAAGTGCGGTTGATCAACAGAGAACAGTTGTCGTTGTTGTTGTTGTTGTGGTTGTTGTTGTTGTAGTTGATGTCTACTTCGTGTCTGCGTAATTTCTCAATCTAGGATTGAAGACTGAGCAGATGTGCGTATGAAGATGAGCACCCCTGCGTTGCTCTTCGCCATCATGTCACGTGGCTGGGTGGCTGCACCCGTTCATGAGTGTCTTGTTTGGTTAATGACCCAGAAGGTTGGCCATGAGGCGTGCCAGTCTGCGCCAGTTGTGCCCACACGTTTCTTGTATGTGAGGATCACGTGCAGTAGATCGTGGTTCAAGAAACAGTTCTGCGATAGCGGATGTGTGCATGGTCCGACGTGGCGTTGTGCAAGGCATGACGTCGTCAAGGGGCATGATTCTCTACCTCTGGCCGAGAGCTGGCGTGCTTCACGAGATGTCGGCGAGGGGAGGCCAGAAAGGGACCTTGGGCATCATGTACCGTCAGGAGGATATGCCGTGGAGCCACTTCGGCATGACGCCAGACATCGTCATGAACCCCCACGCCATTCCGTCCCGGATGACAATTGGCCACTTGGTCGAGCAGTTGACTGGCAAGGTTGGTTCCCTCGTGGGATGTCAGGACCGGCATTTTTCCCTCGGCGTGGCACACGTCGCTTCGTTGGCGTGGCACATTTTGCGTTCTGAAGCGTTCGAGCTGTCTCGTGCAAGCATGTGCTATTTTTCTGACGCGCAGTTTTTTCCAACCCTCCTTGGTTGGGTATTCGAATTTGATAGAGCACTGCGGTCGCGTCTTCTCCTCCCGCCTCCCGCCTCCTGCCTCTCGCCGCGTGATCGCCTCCTGCCCCCGGGACCTCGCCGTCCCTGGGGGGCTGCGATCTGCGACATTGTCGCCAGTTTCGAGGGCTGCTGGTGGGTTCAGCGGAGTGAGGCACCGCGCAGACCTGAGCGGGACCTCGCCGTCATTGGGGCGCTGCGATCTGCTACATTGTTGCCACTTTCGAGGGCTGCTGGTGGGTCCAGCGGGGCAAGGCACCGCGCAGACCTGAGCGTGACCTCGCCGTCCCTGGGGGGCTGCGATCTGCGACATTGTCGCCACTTTCGAGGGCTGCTGGTGGGTCCAGCGGAGTGAGGTGAGGCACCGCGCAGACCTGAGCGGGACCTCGCCGTCCCTGGGGGGCTGCGATCTGCGACATTGTCGCCACTTTCGAGGGCTGCTGGTGTGTCCAGCGGAGTGAGGCACCGCGCAGACCTGAGCGGGACCTCGCCGTCCATGGGGGGGCTGCGATCTGCGACATTGTCGCCACTTTCGAGGGCTGCTGGTGGGTCCAGCGGAGTGAGGCACCGCGCAGATTTGAGCGGGATCTCACCGTCGCAGATGCAGCGTAGACCTCTCCATCCAGGAAAGACGGTCTGCGATCTGCGAAACTGTCGCCGGGTCCAGGGGAAGTTGCGGAGGGCCAGCCTAGTGGCGCCCCGCCGCGGGTTCAGAAAATGCGTCGTCGCGTGGGAGTGTTGGTTCGAGGGAGCCATGCCATGTCTTTGTTGCCCCGCCGACGTTTCAAGCCCGTTGCTAGTTTTCTCCATTCGAACCTTGCCTCAGTGACTCAGGGGTTCATTTAGTTTCTCATCTTTGCCACGCTTGTTCACTCGATCGGGGACCTGCGAACCTCCCGAGTGCCGCTTGCAGAAGTATATGCGTCCATGTCACGTCGTCGCCCTCTCATCACATCTCCCAAGCTACTCCTGCCCTGCACTGCGCAGGGGTTGGGCACGTCGCCAGGGTGATTTTCCATCACAGACTCGTGTGCGAGTTGATTCATGTGTTTGCACGTGCACGCGCTTATGCACACGGGTATGCGCGCATCGGAGGTTGGGGGGTGAGTCCGCCGTGAAACGGAGACCTCCCCTACCGGGAAATCGATTTCGGTTTCGGGTTCGTGTCGTGCGTGCCGTGCGTGCGTGCGGGCGAGGCGAAGCTGCGTGGTCGGGTGAGAGGAAATCCTCCTGCGGCTGGGCCGCGACCGGACCAAATGGTGCTCCTCCGGCGGCCTGTGGCCCGCGGTGTCCCGCCGGAGTCCCGAAATCTTCCTGTGGCTGGGCCGCGGCCGGACCAAATGTTTCTCCGGCGGCCGGTGGCCGGGGTGTCCCGCCGGTGTCCCGCTGATGTCCCGAAATCCTCCTGTGGCTGGGAAGCGGCCGGACCAAATGATTCTCCTCCGGCGGCTGGTGGCGTGCGGTGTCCCGCCGGTGTCCCGCTGGTGTCCCGCCGTTGCTGTTGCGAGCTATCCAATGCAAGTCTACATGCAAACCGACATGCAAACCGAAAAGCCCATCGAAATGCAAATCGACATGCACATCCAAACGCAAATCGTAAGGCGCCGTGGGTTGCGTTATCAAAAAATCTGCGCTTGCGGCGAGCTTTCCAATGCAAGTCGGCATGCAAATCGAGATGCAGATCGAAAAGCAAGTCGACATGCACATCGATATGTCGACATGCAAATCGAGATGCAGATCGAAAAGCAAGTCGACATGCACATCGATATGTCGACATGCAAATCGAGATGCAGATCGAAAAGCAGATCGACATGCACATCGATATGCGCACCACAGGCATCGTCAGAACAACAGTCACCACTGTTGCCCATTCCTGCCCCACCCACCCCAACCTCCTTATCACCTGCAGGGTGGTCGTATGGATATGTGCGTGGCGTGAGCGAGTGTTTGTGCGCCCCTTCGTCTGAACTTCTGCGCGTGACCATGTCGGCACGACGGAAACGGACCCATCATGCCCATGCAACATAAACTGTCTGTTGCAGGGCGACGCCACGCCCTTCACTCGTGTGACCGTGAAGGACATCGCTGGGAGACTACACGACATGGGTTTCCAAAGGTCGTCTCTGCGCTCGACTCTTTATCTACTAATGTTGCACGTGTCTCCTGGTTGTCTTGACAGCATGGCATCATGAGTCCACACTATTACGAGTGCGTTGGATATGGATGATGTCAATCCATGGTTCTCTTTCGCTGCATCACATATGTGGTCCACCTTGTGCCTATTGAACGAATGGAGGGTGTATCACTGCTTTCCTTTGCTGGCGAGGTACGGAAACGAGCGGGTCATTAACGGCCATACTGGCAGGCCCTTGACGAACAAGATTTTTGTGGGTCCCGTGTACTACCAGCGATTGAAGCACATGGTCAGCGACAAGGTGCAGTCGCGGTCGCGCGGTCCAGTGCAGTCACTCGTGAGGCAGCCTACAGAAGGCTGGTCTATCATTCTGTGTTTTATGCGTCTTTGCCTCATGTCCTGTGAGCCTCCATCAAGCACCGTTCCATCTACTGAACCACCGTCGTGGTTGGTTGGCCTTGCATACCTTTGTCTTGAGCGAGAGCCTGCAGACGGATGCGTCTATAGGAAAGATCAGGTGCTTTGCCAGTCTGGCCGCACAGGTCGACATCTCCTGCTCGAAGCTGCGCGCTAGCCTGTTCCGAGCCGCGTCTGTCCCGTGCTCATCCTCACTCCTCGACGGTGTCATACTCATCACGGAGTGCATTCCCGTGCCTGCCGAATTGTTTGCACGATCGTTCGATGACCTTCCCGACAGACCGAATGCAAATGAGCTAGATTTGAATCGCATCGGGCTGGAGCACATGATTTGACGACCCTCCACCGCCGGTGGCTAGGAGAAGGAGGTGGAGGGGCAGGAGGAGGAGGAGGAGGTTACAGTTCTCTCGTGCCTTCGAGTTCTCGACACTTCTCCCTTGGGCTTGGCGGGCATATCTGGTGGCATCTACAAGCCGCAACCGTCCCAGTCATGCGTTTGCGCGGTAGCAGACCCAGTGATCTAGTTGTTGAGGTATGCGTTACTGTTGATAGCGTGGTACATTTCTACTGACGATCTCAGTGCAGTCCCCCATGCAAAGCGCAACATAGAAGTCGAGGGGCACGGAAAAAAGTGACAGCCACGCTCCTGCAAGCAACCCTCAGCATTTGTTCCTTCGCCCTCCCTCGCCCTCACCTGCCATGCCTCGTCCCCAGATCCCGTGCCGGCGGTTTCGTGAGTGTGTCCCCTTTCATCCCTCTCATCGTCGCCACAGGCGTGGACGCCGTCTATACATATAGATAGGTAGATATATATATATATATATATGGATAGATAGATAGATAGATGTAAATATGTATATATGGATCCCCGTGCTCCTGTGTGCATCTCAGGTCTTGGCTGTGTCTTCACCCCCGCGCGCTGGTGCGCACCTCCCGCCGTGCCCCTCGCCGTGCCGACGCTCGCCTTTGCGGCCGACCGCCTCCAGGGCGCGCCAAAGAGGGCGGCCTGCGCTTCGGCGAGATGGAGCGCGACTGCATCATCTCGCACGGCTCGGCCAAGTTCCTGAAGGACCGGAGCTCGGAGGCGGAGGAGGAGGAGGAGGAGGAGGAGGAGGAGGAGGAGGAGGGGGAGGAGGGGGAGGAGGAGGAGGAGGAGGAGGAGGAGGAGGAGGAGGAGGAGGAGGAGGCAGGGGGTCAGTGCAGACAGGGGTCAGCCAGAGCGCCGGATCTTGCGGGGTCTTGCAGGGACAGGGTCGCATCGGCTCGGGTTTGGGCGCAGGAGCCTGCAGGAGCCTGCACGAAAGGAGATGTGGCATGAAGGGAGCGGGTCGTGGTGAAAAGACGGGTCCTGGTCCCCAGGGCTTCCCCAGGGGCCAGCTTCTCATCTCGAGTGGAGTTTTTGTTGATGGCTCCCGGGGCCCGGGTAGGGTCCTGGGAGTTCGACGGCGGCGAAGAATTTGCAGGTCTTTGGTGGCGGCAGATGCCGCGGACGCCGACCAGCCAGAGTACCCCCGCTCCCTTTTGGGAGCGGCTGCCGCTCAGCAGGGCCTCAAAGCGATAGGCGATCCCTGCCCTGCAGTGCCTTCGATGGGAGCTTGCATTATGTATGGCCAGGCCACGAGAGGCAGTGTGATTGAAGAGTAAAATCATACATATAATTCTTTATACACACATAGAACGCGCAAATATAGATAAACAAGGAAACCAAACAACTTTTTTGTTTGGAACATCTACGCATAGAGATAAGAGCACACACGCAGAAAATCATCCCGGCAAAGCAACCTAACAGCGATGTGTAGAAGCATAGCTGGAAACATCGCCTGTGGTATTCATGTAAGAGCGTTGTTGTAGAATTCTGGTGTTCTCGCAGTCGCATTCGGATTCGCAGTGGCAGTCGCAGTGGCAACATCAGCGGCAGTCGCAGTGGCACTGCCAGTAGTTGCAGTAGCAATAGCTACACCAGCAGCAGCAATAGCAGCAGCAGCAGTAATAGTAACAGTAGTAGTAGCAGTAGAAGTAGTAGTGATGGTACTAGTGGTAACAGTGAAGTAGTAGTTGTAGTGTGTGGAGTGAACGAGTAGGAATGATGGGAGCAGTGGTAGTAGCAGTAGAAACACTGCTTTCGATAACGGCATCTCCAAATGAGATCCTTGAATAAATGCATTGAGGTCTAAACAAGACACTGCTATCAATGGATGTGATTCCAAACGAGACATTGCTATCAACGGGTTGGGCCTCAAACGACACACTTGCATCAATGAATGTAGCTCCAAAACAGGCACTCCCATGAATGGGTTTAGTGTGATGTCGTAGTAGTAGTAGTAGTAGTCGTAGTAGTATGGGCACGGACCCGTAAGACCTGAGTCTCCACCGGGGTGCTCGGCGAAGCCATTGATGATGATGATGATGATGTGATGATTGAGGAGGATGATGGGATGATGACCGCGCTACTTGGATTTGTTGTGTCCGGCCTTCTCGGCCTCCAACCAAATCTTGGAAGACATCTCGCAAACGGAAGAGGAGCGCCAACTTGTTTTCGGCCCGTTCTTGTTCGGACGTTCCTTTTTTTCGCTTCGGTATCCGGCCGGACTGCTTCACGTGCTCGACGAGCGTTTGCAGAGGACCGCTCAATGCAGCACGCTGAGGAGCAGCGTTGTTCCCTGCCGCAGGCTGAGGAGCACCGCTGTTCAATGCAGCAGGGTCAGGAGCACCGCCGCCAGACCGAGAACTATCAGCATGTCCTGGCATTAAGGTGCGCAGTAGGCGCTGCGCAGTTCCTTTGAAAGGAAATCTTCGAAAGCAGGGCTGTAGCCAAGAAGGCTACGGGGACGATGTTATGAAGATGATGAGTCTTGCAAGTCTGGGAAGTGGAAGAGCACGAAGTGGCGTACAGTTGGTTCCGGGCATTCAAAATGTGGCCCGGGAATGGAGTTCTGGGAAGTGGAAGAACACGAAGTGGCCTACAGTTGGCTCCGGGCATCCAAAATGGCCCCGGGAATGGAGTTTTGGGAAGTCGAAGAGCACGAAGTGGCTTACAGTTGGTTCCGGGCATTCAAAATGTGGCCCGGGAGTGGAGTTCTGGGAGGTCGAAGAGCACGAAGTGTGCGACTGTTTGCTTAAAACGAGCCCGGCCCTTGCCTGTCCGGCTCCCGCCCAGACCCCCCTGGGGAGTCATCAGATGCTTTCTTTTGACCCCATTAGAAACCTATCAGTCTTCGCTGTTAGGTAAAAAACGGTTCGGAGCTCCGCGCGGATTTCGTGGATCTGCGCTGCGCGTCCCCCCGACGGCGCCTCCCAGCGCGGATCCCAGAAGCTCGCGCGGAGCTCCGAAGGCTTTCAGGTTGTGCCGCTTGTTCTTCGTCTAGACTGGAGTCGGGCCTGTCCCTCTCTGCAGGGGGAGTAGGCAGAAAGAGTCAAAAAAACAGTTCGGGGACGATGTTCCGATTATGCTTTGACTCTGTGGGTGCATTTTGTCCAAACCCTCCTTGGTTGGGTATTTGTTTTTGAATAGAGCACTTTGGGTGTCTTCTCTTTCTCCTCCCGCCTCCTGCCTCCCGCCTCCCGCCCCCCCTCCTTGTCTCCCCTTACCTTGCCTGGGGGCCTGCGATCTGCGAAACTGTCGCCACTGTCGAGGGCCGCTGGTGGATCCAGCAGAGTGAGGCACCTCGCGGATCTGAGCGGGACCTCCCCGTCCCTGCGGGGCTGCGATCTGCAACATTGTCGCCACTTTCGAGGGATGCTGGTGTGTCCAGCGGAGTGAGGCACCGCGCCCAGCAGGACCTCCCCGTCCCTGGGGGGCTGCGATCTGCGACATAGTCGCCACGTCGAGGGCCGCTGGTGTGTTCAGCGGAGCGAGGAACCGCGCAGACTGGAGGGGGCTGTAATCTGCGAGTGCGTCGCCATTTTCGATGGATGTTGGTGGGTCCAGCGGAGTGAAGCACCACGCGGATATGAGCGGGACCTCCCCGGTCCCGGGGGGCTGCGATCTGCGCCAGTGTCGTTTTTTTTCGAGGTCTGAGCGGAGTGAGGCACCGCGCGGGTCTGAGCGGGACCTCCCCGTCCTTGGGTGGTTGCGATCTGCGACATTGTTGTCATTTTCGAGGGCTGCTGGTGGGTCCAGCGCAGTGAGGCACCGCGCGGATCTGAGCGGGACTTCCCCGTCCCTAGGTGGCTGCGATCTGCGACCTTGTCGCCATTGAGTGAGGCACCGCGCGCCGACCTGAGCGAGACCTCGCCATCCCTGGGGCTGCGATCTGCGCCATTGTCGCCACTTTCGAGGGTTGCTGGTGGGTCCAGCGGAGTGAGGCACCGCGCAGACCTGAGCGGGGCCTCCCCGTCCCTGGGGGGTGCGATCTGCGACATTGTCGCCACTTTCGAGGGCTGTTGGTGTGTCCAGCGGAGTGAGGCACCGCGCAGACTTCAGCGGGACCTCCCCGTCGTTAGGGGGGCTGCGATCTCCGACATTGTCGCCATTTTCGAGGGCTGTTGGTGTGTCCAGCGAAGTGAGGAACGCGCAGACCTGAGCGAGACCTCGCCGTCCCTGGGGGGCTGCGATCTGCGAAATTGTCGCCACTTTCTAGGGCTGCGGGAGGGTTCGCCGCTTTCGAAGGCTGCTGGTGGGTCCAGCGGAGTGAGGCACTGCGCAGACCTGAGCGGGACCTCGCCGTTCCTGGGGGACCATGTCATGTTGTTGCTGCCCCGCCGACGGTTCAAGCCCCTTGCCCACCGTCTCCTTTGGGTCCTTGCGTCGTCTTTAGTGTCTCAGGGGTTCACTTAATTACTCATAGTTGTTCCTTTGAAGGGGACCTGCGAACCTTCCGAATGCCGCTCGCAGAAGTATATGCGTCCATGTCACGTCGCCGCCTTCTCGTCAAATCTCCCAAGGTATTCCTGCCCCGCATTGCGCAGTGGTTGTGTACGTCGCCAGGGTAATGTGTTTGAGTATGTTTCCCCAACCCTCCTTGTTTGGGTATTCGTTTTGAATAGAGCACTGCGGTTGCGTCTTCTCCTCCCGCCTCCTGCCTCTCGCCGATTTCTCGCGTCCCGCCCCCCAGGACCTCGCCGTCCCTGGGGGGCTGCGATCTGCGACAGTGTCGTCACTTTGGAGGGCTGCTGGTGGATCCAGCAGAGTGAGGCACCTCGCAGTCCTGAGCGGGACATCGTTGTCCCTGGGCGGCTGCGATCTGCGACATTGTCGCCATTTTCGGGGGCTGCTGGTGGGCGCAGAGGAGTGAGGCACCCTGCAGACTTGAGCGGGACCTCGCCGTCCCTGGGGGGCTGCGATCTGCGACATTGTCGCCACTTTCGAGGGCTGCTGGCGGGTCCAGCGGAGTGAGGCACCGACCGGATCCGAGCGGGACCTCCCCGTCCTTGGGGGGGCTGCGGTCTGCGACATTGTCGCCTTTGTCCGAGCTGTTGGTGGGTCCAGCGGGGTGAGGCACCGCGCAGACCTGAGCGGGACCTCGCCGTCCTCGGGGGGTTGCGCTCTGCGACATTGTCGCCATTTTCGAATACTGCTGGTGTGTCCAGCGGAGTGAGGCACCGCGCAGACCTGAGCGGGGCCTCGCCGTCCTCGGGGGGCTGCGATCTGCGGCATTGTCGCCATTTTCGAGGACTGCTGGTGGGTCCAGCGGAGCGAGGCACCGCGCAGACCTGAGCGGGACCTCGCCGTCCTCGGGGGGTTGCGCTCTGCGACATTGTCGCCATTTTCGAATACTGCTGGTGTGTCCAGCGGAGTGAGGCACCGCGCAGACCTGAGCGGGACCTCTCCGTCCCTGGGGGGCTGCGATCTGCGACATTGTCGCCACGTGCGAGGGCTTCTGGGGGGTCCAGCTGAGTGAGGCACCGGTCCAGCGGAGTGAGGCACCGCGCAGACCTGAGCGGGGCTTCGCCGTCCTTGAGGGGCTGCGATCTGCGACATTGACGCCACTTTCGAGGGCTGCTGCTGGGTCCAGCGGAGTGAGGCATCGCGCAGACTTGAGCGGGACCTCGTTGTCTTTGTGGGTGCGGTCTGCGGGTGCGATCTGCGAAATTGTGTCGCCACTTTCAATGGTTGCTGGTGGGTCCAGCGGAGTGGGGCACCGCGCAGACCTGAGCGGTACCTCGCCGTCCCTGGGGGCTGTGATCTGCGACATTGTCGCAATGTTCAAGGGCTGATGGCATGTCCAGCGGAGTGAGGCACCGCACAGACCTGAGCGGGGCTTCGCCGGCCTTGAGGGGCTGCGGTCTGCGACATTGTCGCCACTTTCGAGGGCTGCTGGTGGGTCCAGCGGGGTGAGGCGCCGCGCAGACTTGAAAGGGACCTCGCCGTCTCTGGGTGGCTGCGATCTGCGACATTGTCGCCACGTGCGAGGGCTTCTGGTGGGCCCCGCGGGGTGAGGCACCGCGCAGACCTGAGCGGGACCTCGCCGTCCTTGGGGGAGTGCGATCTGCGACATTGACGCCATTTTCGAATACTGCTGGTGGGTCCAGCGGGTTCGAGGCACCGCGCAAACTTGAGCGGAACCTCGCCGTCTCTGGGTGGCTGCCATCTGCGACATTGTCGCCACTTTCGAGGGCTGCTGGTGGGTCGAGCTGAATGGGGCATTGCGCAGACCTGAGCGTGACCTCGCCGTCCCTGGGGGGCTGCGATCTGCGACCTTGGGGGCTGCGATCTGCGACATTGTCGCCACTTTCGAGGGCACTGCGCAAACTTGAGCGGAACCTCGCCGTCTCTGGGTGGCTGCGATCTGCGACATTATCGCCACGTTCGAGGGTTGCTGACGGGTCCAGCAGAGTGGGGCACCGCGCAGACCTGAGCGGGGCTTCGCCGTCCTTGGGAGGCTGCGATCTGCGACCCTGGGGGGGCTGCGATCTGCGACATTGTCGCCACTTTCGAGGGCTGCTGGCGGGTCCAGCGGAGTGAGGCACCGCGCAGATGTGAGCGGGACCTCGCCGTCCCTGGGGGGCTGCGATCTGCGACATTGTCGCCACTTTCGAGGGCTGCTGGCGGGTCCAGCGGAGTGAGGCATCGCGCAGATTTGGTTGGGACCTCGCCGTCCGTGTCCCTGGGTGGCTGCGATCTGCGACATTGTCGCCACTTTCGAGTGCTGCTGGTGGGTCCAGCGGAGTGAGGCACCGCGCAGACCTGAGCGGGACCTCGCCGTCCCTGGGGGGCTGCGATCTGCGACATTGCCGCCATTTTCGAGGACTGCTGTTGGGTCCAGCGGAGCGAGGCACCGCGCAGACCTGAGCGGGACCTCGCCGTTCTTGGGGGATTGCGGAGGGCCAGCTTCGCGGCGCCCCGCCGCTTGTTTAGAAAGTGCATCGTCGCGTGGGAGTTCTGGTTCGAGGGAGCCGTGTCATGTCACTGTTGCCCCGCCGGCGTTGCAAGCCCGTTGCCCGCCTTCTCCGGTTGGGCCTTACCGTAGTGAGTCAGGCGTTCACTTAGTCATTCGTCTCTGCCGCGCTTCTCCCTTGATCGGGGGCCTGCGAACCTTCCGAAAGCCGCTCGCAGAAGTAGACGCGTCCATGGCACGTCGCCGCCCTCTCGACAGATCTCCCCAGCTGCTCCTGCCTTGCACTGCGCAGGGGTTGGGTACGTCGCCAGGGTAAGTGTGCGTCGTCCAAAATCCGCCTGCAGGGGGGCACGCCCGACCTAAGCTGAAGGTTATGCCGCTTGTTCTTTTTCAAGGCAGGCAGGATGTGACGCCACGGAGAACTAAAGATTACGCTACCGAGGAACCCCACATACCTATGTTATTTCCCATGTGTACCATCGGTGCTTCTGCTGCTGCTCCTCCTTCTCCTCCTCGGTGTCCGCCTCCTCCTGCTGCTGCTTCTGCCGCTGCTGCTGCTGCTGCTGCTGCTGCGTCTGCTGCTGCAGCTGCTGCTGCTGCTGCTGCCGCTGCTGCTGCCCCACCTCCCCGTCCTCCTCAAAGGGCCCTCACCCCCAGCGCACCCTCTGTGGCGTCGAGGAAATGCCACGCCTGCCACGCCCTGGGAGCCTGCAACGCATAGGGCCCCCACCCCCAGCGCACCCCCTGCGGCGCCCAGGAAATGCCACGCCTGCCACGCCCTGGGAGCCTACAACGCATAGGGCCCCCACCCCCAGCGCACCCCCTGTGGCGTTGTGCTGTGCTGTGCTGTGCTGTGCTGTGCTGCTGTGCGGTGAGCTGTGCCGTGCTGTGTTGTGCCGTGCTGTGCTGTGCTGTGCTGTGCTGAGTTGAGCTGAGCTGACCTGTGCTCAGCTGTGCCGTGCCGCTCTGGTGCGAGAAGGAGAACGGGAGGGGGGAGGTGTGAGCGCGGCAGGGTAAAAACCAGAACCCCACGAAACATGTGGGGAAAAACAGGTCAGAACTTGACACACGAGTGTTTGCCGAATGTTTCAACCCAGTGTCAGCGAGGCAGTCTGCCATGCGGCCCCTTGAGGACCGCCCAGGAGGCCGAAATGTGTAGCGGCACTTGTGCGTATTGTTGCTCGTATTTCTATGCGTGAGTTGTGTGTTGGCCGAGCACGTGCAGTTACATCTCTGTTCGCTTGTAACTGTACTCAATATCGTCCGCGGCTTCGCGTTTGCGTCTGCATCTGCGCATGGTAGTAGTGTTCCCTCTTAGGTGTGAATGCATACCTGGTGCGCGTTACCTATACATGCATGTAAGCCTGTCTATGGATGTATGTATATGTGTGTATATTTAGATGTAGGTGCCTATACACATGCATACGCACCTCTCCGAGTGAGTAGAACTCAGAGGCGGATAATTGATACCGTCCCGTCCCGTCCGCGATGTTGTTGGCAGTTTCGCTCGGGGCATCCTCAACATTCTGAGAATCGGACGCACCCCTCACGCAGATCGCGACGTCACGGTCCAAAAACACCAGACATTTTCAATAGTTCAACGTGTTTTTCAACGGTGTTCAATCATGTTGGAAGTCGCATTGAGAAAAAACAACCGTTGCGCGTGATACATCCCCGAAAAGTGCAAACCCGACGCATTCTTCACAGCGGCATTTTCGTTCGAGAAATCCTCCGACAATTGGCACTGGAGTTTTTCAACTGCAATCGCAAGGTGTGGAACACCCCCCTGCGCCGCACGCAGATCGGAAAGTGGGGAAACCCCACCTGCGTTCGATTGCGATCCCTCTGTTGCACCTCATTCCCAACAGCCCCCTTGTGATCCTTACGATCCTCCTTCTCTCCTTATTGCTCTGCTTCTCCATCTCCTTTCCTCGTCCGATCCGGCTTCGTATTCCTCGTCTTGACAAGTTATTGCGATGTTTTCGTATTGCAGTACTTCTTTGGGCATGGGCACGCACGTGTCATTTGTTTGTAGATAGTATGTGTATATATATATATATATATATATATGTATATGTATATGTAATTTGGTCAGTACCCATCCGTTGTGCCGTCATCTCCCCGAAAGTTCTGCCGCTGTGCATGCTGGTGGTTTCGCTCGCCGAGCTCGTCCCAGGGGGCGCGTTGCGCAAGAGCTCTTATGTCTGGTGCGCGTCTGGTAACGCGGAGAGTTGCCTCAACGCCATGGGGTGACTCGAATCCCAAGCAGTTCGGACCATTGTGGTTCGAAGAGTGTTCGAACACCCAGCCAAGTGGTACATCGCAGGAAACGGCTCGCAACGCATCGGGTGAAACCATCATGAATGGCGTCGTTGTCTCGAAATCTTCGCAGCCCCTTCGGGCCCCCGAGTGGGGGGCACCTGTCCCCTCAGCAGCTGAACATCGGAGCTACGCCCGACAGATCGCCAGGTCGCGACTGGCGTGAAGATGCACACGGGACTTTTCAATTGGTCCTCTGGCCTTCTGGCTTCGATTGCTTGTTGCACGTGTTCCGTGGACCTCCTTCCTCCGTGCGAGGCTCGAGCTTCCCCATGGCCCGACCCCGCGTACTGTGGGGACAAAAAATCCACACTGTGTTTTTTCTGTTCCCACAGACTGTGTGTGTGTGTTTTTGTTTGTTTGTGTATGTGTTTGTGTGTGTTTTCCCACAGACGAGCGCGCTAGCAGGATTTTTCCCAGCAGCTCCAGTTGGACGAGACCTTCAGAGTGTTGGCTCTGACGCACCGATCGATGTCGCATTTCTGGAGCGGGGTGCAGGTTAACAGAAGGCGTCTCGCGCGGGAGCTCTACAATGTGGTTGGAGGTGTGGACACACGCATCAAGCATCGGGTTAGCACAGATCATTCCCAGAGCACGCTTCTGCGAAGTCGGTCCGACTAGTCGCCGAAGTCGCCCCCCAGATTTCGACAAATTGTGGTTGGATGGCTCCTGTGCTGCCTCCATCGCTTCCCCAGATCGCACCCCCACAGCCAGTACGCAAAGGCAACCTGCGGGGGCGTCTGGGGGTCTCAGGAGGCTCGTCTGCCTAGAGGAGCGGATGCTGGGGTCTCCCTGGACGGAGGCGGCTGCGGTTGCACACGCGAGTGTCGAGGTCAATGCCAAGAAAAGTTGTAAGGTATAGCCCGGGCAACGACATGTAAATTGCAGCTTGCCAGCGTGTAGTCGGCCCCTCAGCTCATAGCTCTTTGAGGCTACACCTTAGTTCGAGGGGAGGCGTTGGGTGGCTTATCCCGTGAAGGGCGCCATTTTGCTTGATAAGCCGCCTCAACCGATGTTCGTATGTCCTGCCGCCTGGCCCCTTACAGGAAGGGGGATAGTATAGTGACAGGAGCGCCTCTTCGACGTGTCCGACGCGTACCGCCTCCATGTGTGCGACACGTGCGGCTTGTTCGCGGTGGCCAGGATTGGTTTTGCCAGCATCCAACGCTGAGCCTGGACGTCCAATAGTGTTCACGGACTTCTTTGGACCCCTTGGGAATTGTTTGGGATGGTGTTTGGGATGTTTTCTTACCGACTGAGGATACTCGGTCGTTCTCGGCATGCCAACCAATGGGCTGGTGTAGCGTTAGTGCGTTCCAACATGGAAGCGCATCGCCGATGCAATATGTTCCGGTGCTAGCGCACGACCTGGTACGATTGTTGGTTTAGGCCCTTTTGTGTGCCATCACAGACGTTGCCCTTTCGAAAAAACTGTGCGTTGCCTATGGTGGAATCGACCTCTTCGGGCCGCATGTCCTTTCTTGCACTGGTTCAGCACTTCAGCACAGCCGAGACTTGAAGATAAGTCCTATACGGCAAGGGCCCCTGTGAGTAGCCAGGCAGGAGGTTGTGTCAGCATGCGGTGCCAGAGCTCCAGGTAAAGCAAATGTGTTGATATGGCGGGGTGTTTGCTTCTGCGCTGCTTCTGCGCATCCCCTGTTGCGGGGAAAGGCATCAACGTGGGTTTCACACGAGAGGAAGGGTGGAGGGGTGGAGGTGGCATGGCCAGAAACGTACGTTCGAAGTTATGTGTTTGCCAATTCGGTTGCGGGCATTGACTTGCCAGATGCGGAGGTCTGCCCCGTCAGTTTGCGATTTCGACACGGTCTCTAAACCCGTGTCTCACCTTTAGTTCGTCGATGGGGTAGCGGCACGGGCTGATGGCGATTGAGTTAGCCGTTGTTTTCATTGATGATGTGTGGTGGTTCCCGCTCCGCAGTGTCCGACGTTCCCCAAGCTGCAGACGAGACGGCCAGCCATGCGAGCAGCACAGCGTGCGGACTTGAGTCAAAGGAGCCAAGGCAAAGCGATTCGCGACTGCATTTCCAGAGACCTAAGTGCATGAAACATGTGCGATCCTGAATTTGTTCTGGACGCCCTGGGTCCGAATCTGTCAGGCCCGTCCACGAGTTACCTTATCTGGAGCAGGGATGGAGCAGGAGCAGCAGAAAGACGGGAACGAAAGGCGGGAGGAAGAGGGGAGGACGAGGACACGGAGGGGGACGGGAGAGGGTGGAAAGGAGAGGAGAGGAGAAGTGCCGGCCAATGTGGAGGGACGCGGATGGGGGCGGGGCAGGGGAGATTTGGCGGGGGAGGGGCAAGAGGGGAGGCAGATGAGAAAGTGGCAGGCGGGGGATGAGGGGGAGAGGGGTCTAAGAAGAATAGGAGGTGGTGCGGGAAGAGGGGGAGGGGGAGGAGGAGGAGGAGACGGAGGAGGAGGAAGAGGAGGGGGAGGGGGAGGAGGAGGGGCAGGAAGAGGAGGAGAAGGCGAAGGAGGAAGGAGGAGGAGGAGGAGGAGGAAAGGAGGAGGAGGAAGAGGAGAGACGTGTGGAGGGATAGGAGGTGGAGCAGGGAGAGGAGGAGGAGGAGGAGGAGGAGGAGGAGCAAGAGGAGAGACAGTAGGAGGAAGAGGAAGAGGAGAGACAGGGCCAGGCGGCACGAGGGACGAGCACTGGACGTGGATGCCTCGCCACGCGGCCACCTGGGAGAGCTTCAAACGCCTGGCCCTGCGACTGCAGCTCGGCCAGGTCCCTGGAGAGGGGCGCGTGCACTGGCTGTCAACACGCATCGCTGCGGGGTACCGGGAGGAGCAGAACAATCTCAGGCGATCGTAAACATGGGTCAAAGGGGAGTGGATTCGCGACGGGCCCTGTTTCCGTGGGAAATCGCGAGTTCCGCTGCCGAGCGAGGCGGCCCCGGTCGCATTTTGGGGAGGGCACTTGCCCCGATCCATGGAGTCGGCGACCGCGCGCCAACTCCATGGATCGCTAATCATGCTTGCGCGCCCCCGAAACAAGGAAAGACCCCTCGCGCTGGGAAACGTCCACAGGCGCGCCGCCTCAAAGGCCGGCAGCTGGATGTTCACAGGAAGGGTGGCCGCGGCACTGGGCCAGAACGAGAACTCAGTGGGGAGCGATCAGGTGCAGACGAAAGCATTCACAAGGCAGCCCTCCTTGACCTCGACTGCCTGCCGCGCTGCTGCAAGGTCAGCCTGGACGTGCGCAACGCCCACAACGAGTTCTATTGGGCAGCCGTGGCGACCACGGTGTTGACCCTTGTCCTGGACCTGCTGCCACGGGCGTCCTGGGCCCGTGCACGTCGGCCACGCACGCGCACGTGTCGTGAGACGGCACGCAGACCCCTCCCGAAGGAACGCGGCGGGGACCAGGGAGGCGCCTTCGCCAACCAGGTAAACTGGTTGGCGAAGGCGTCTCCCTGGTTGTCCCTCTGTGCTATGTTGGGGCGGCAGGTGCCGTGGAGCAGGCAGCAACAACCGCGGCGGAACCAGCGAGGTGCTATTGCGATAATCGTGACTTGCACGTCATCTGTGACTCATCCGGAGCCCTGGCCGCCGAGGAAGCCTTCGCTGGCGCATGCGCCACAGCCGGACTCAGTGGCAACCCAGGCAAGACCGCGCTGAGCCCTGGCCGGGAGCTCGACGTTGCGGCGTTTCCAAGGCAGCGCGAGTTGGAATCCCGGGCGTTGGTGTTCCGCCACGGCGCGCTGCCAACGGCCCCAGCAACCCCCACCGCCGCTCTGGCAGAAGGGCCGCCCCAAGGTGGCTGCGCTGCAGACGGCCCGCAAGCGGCTGCGCAGCCTCTGCGCGGCGGGCCTTGACAAGCTCGTGGCGTTGACCGACTTACACGCTCCTGGCGCGCACTTGCGGCATCCCGAACCAAGAGGCGCGGGCCTTGGACGGGGCGCTGGCCGCGGAGCATGAGGACACCTTGGGCGCCTCGCTGGACGACGCTGCGAGTAGGGACCTTTTCCTCGGCGGTGCCGCTGGAGGCCACGGGCTGCACAGGGTTGACTTGACGGCCCCCGCGGCGAACGCAGCGTTCTGGCACCTCTGCCTGCCGCACTGCCTGCGGCGACTCGGCCTGGAGAGCGCCGCCGCCCTGGCAGCGCTGAGCCCCTGGGCACGCCGCGCTCTGCCAGCGGCCACGGCGACGCTCCGGGCCGGGCTGGGCGACGACGCCGCCCGCGTGGGCGACGAGGCTCTGCCAGCTAGTTACGCAGCACACCCTGGCCACAGCCTCCCTCGCTACGGTTGCCCTCCTCGCTGCTGGCTAAGCGGATGCGGCCGCCTCCCTGCGGTGCGCAGGTGGCCCGGGAGCGAGCGCCGCCCTGCAGGTGCCGACCTTGCCTTGCCACCTGCTCACCAACGCGCAGCTCGGCATCGCGCTGCAGTTCTGAACCTCGGCTTGCTGGGATGCGCGGGCCCCCCGCTAGAGGCGGGCACAGGCGGGTTCAGGCTGTCGAGGCTCTGCCAGGAGAACCCTCGCGGCGGGATCTGCGGCGCATCGCTGGACCCCAAGGGGCGGCACGCGCGCGGCTGCGCTTTGGGTGGGTGGCTGGCCCGCCGGCACGACGCGGCCTGCGCGGCGCTCGCGGAGCGGTGCGAGGAGCAGGGGCGCACCGTGCACCGGGAAGTCCTGCTCCCCCACGCTGCACCGAGGTGTGCAGAAGCGCGGATGGACCTCGTCGCCCACGCCCCGCGCTTCGCCGAGCCGAACATAGTCGACTTGACCGCGGCGAGCGCACTTACAAAGGACGCCCTCGCGCTTAGCCCCGCGCGGCGGGACTGCGCCGCAGCGGCGGCCGCTGCGCGGCGCAAGCGGGCCCGCTACCCCGGGGTGACCATGGTCCCGTACGCGATGGAGGACCACGGCCGCTTGGGTGAAGAGGCAAGGCCCTGACGAGGCTGCTGGCGGCCGCCCAGGACACCGAGAGCTCTGCGGCCATTCGGCAGCCACACCAGTCGATCAGGCGCACCCTGCAGCGCCACGCCGCCGACGCAGTGCTGGCGGCGACGCAGGCGCAGGGCCCCAGACGCGGAGCCCCGACTGGGGTCTAAGTCGCCGCGCGCTGCGCGCCGTGCCGCTGGCCGAGCAGCCGGAGCTCCTCCTGCGCCAGGTCGCAGCGACGGCCGAGCGCGCCGGGCCCGCCGAGGCGGCGGCGGAGCGCGCGCCTCGCCTAGCCGGGCCAGAGGCGCAGGGCCCGCCAGGATGCTGCTGGCGCGGCGTGCGGGCGCGCTGCGCGGCCAGGCAGCGAACGCCGCGAGGGCGGAGCTGTCGACGCGGCGGCGCCAGGCGCAGGTGACCAGCGCCCGAGGCCGCCTACTTTTTGCTCGCTGTGCTCATTCGGGCCGCGTGTAATTATGTCTAGGTTATATGCCCCAGCTGGCGCAGGCCCTCCCTCACTGGAGCGGCCGCTGCTTGGCCGCAGGGCCCTCGGGCCCGTCGCTAAGCAGCAGCTGTTCTTGGGAGGCCGGTGCGAAGTGCTGGGCGGGCGCGTTGGCAAAATTTCAATGAACGCCTAGACCGCGCTCCGCCGCCAGAAGAAGAGGCGAATGAAGGCGGAGGAGGAAAAGCAGAAGGAGGAGGACCAGTGCAAACCCAAGAACCACAGAACTCCCTACAAGGATCCATGCCGCGTTCATTTGTTTGAGACAAGTGCCCTGGTGGAAAAAAGATCGCATGAAAATTCTGAACCGGAAGACCACTCCTGGGACATCAACGCCGCGAATCAACATGACCGTTGCGTCCTGACGATACTAAACAGTACCAGAAGACCATTCCTGGAAATTGAGCATTGCTGAACAACGTAATTGTTGCGCCTTGACAGTCAGTCCTACATCGTACCAGAACACTGTTTCTGGAACGCCAGCCAGAAGAACATTGAAAAGTGTCGTGGGTTCTCCAGACGAAAGTGAGCGGCGCTGGGGCGAGAGCCACATGTTGGAAACGGCCCGCCCTTCATCCGTGAATTTCCTGCACAGCTTCAAACTCAAGAGCGCGCCGCTGAGGCGAGAGCCACATGTTTGAAACAGTTCCCCCCCATCCGTGCTACTCGTGCAAATGTTTGGAACGAATGTGCGCGGCGCTCACGCGATATCCACATGTTGAAAACGTTCCGCCCTCCATCAACTGCAACGTTTCATGTAACGGGTCAAAATTGCGAGGAAGTTTCAGGCGAAATGCGCGGCCCGCCATGCCGACACGTCCTGGGGTGCGACAAGGAGGCGTGATGTACAAGGGGAAAGGATGGATGGAGGAGGGGGGGGAAGAGGAGGAGGCGAAAGAAGGAGGAGGAGGAGGAGGAGGAGGAGGAGGAAGGGAGGAGCAAGAGGAGAGACAGGAGGAGGAGGAGGCGAAGTAAGGAGGAGGAGGAGGAGGAGGAGGAGAAGTTCGGAGGAGGAGGAGAAGGAGAAGGCGACGCAAAGAGGATCCAGAGGAGGAAGAGGAGGAAGAGGAGAGTCAGGAGGAGGAATGGGACGTGGAGCCGGGATGCGGGGCGGAGGAGGAGGAGGAGGAGGAGAAGAAGAAGAAGGAGGAGGCGAAGTAAGGAGGAGGAGAAGGAGGCAAGAAAGGAGGAGGAGGAGGAGGAGGAGGAGGAGGAGGAGAGACAGCGGAGGAAGGCGTAGGAGACAGGGCAGGGGAAGCCTCCCGGCTTACTCTGTGCGCGGGGGTCCGTTCGCCATGGAACGGACGGCTCGCGCGGGGGCAGACATTTGGGTCCACATCGTCGAAGCAGGAACTCCTCGTCCTCCTCCGCCTCCTCCTCCTCCTCCTCGCAGAAATTTGGGCCCACATCGTCGAAGCAGGAACTCGCCTTGCCCAAGATTCATGGGAGGCGCAGCGCTGAGCCGAGAGTTCTTGCGGGGCGGGGGAATCGCAAAGAGGGGAGCGTCGAACACAAAAAGAAACAAGAGCGCAGCAGGGGCATCGCAATGATGGGGGGTGCGGACACAACAGCAAAAAGAAAGGAGGAGGCCGCCGAGCCTGCGAACGAATCGGTCCAGGAGCACACAGGCAGGGGTGCACGGCGGTAACTTCAGCGTCATTCAGGCCTCTCATGATAGCGAGCGTCTTCTTGTTCCTTGTTGTGCCGATCGGCGCGGGCCCTCCCTCCCCCCCCCATGGAGTAGCTCTTGGCTACTTTTGGCGCCTGTTTCGAGCAGGTGGAGTCTCCCCCATACTGCCATAGGGCGCACAATTGCAAACAGTCGCGTTAAGCGGAGGCTCGGAGCCCCCTTCCGCCCAAAGGCGAAACGCCGAATAAGAAGTCGCTCGCGTAGAGTCTCTGCGTGCTCGAGCGGACGGCGGCAATTTCGACAGTACGTGATTGATGTTAGAATGTTCGTATTGCATTGTCGCGCCTAGCGCTCTCATGCATACCAACGCACGTGATGATTCAGGAGAGGGAAAATCACACAGACACAATTAATCGTCGGTTCCCAGGAAAATATGGGAAAATATGGGAAGTGGGAGGGAAGACAGAAACCTGGAAAATATTGGAAAATATGGAGTATAGTTTTATTTGTGTGTATTTATTTGTGTGTCCTGGGGCCCCTTCAATGATGTCGGGACGGTGTTTGAACGCTCCGCGCGCCGGGGCCCCGGATGCTCAAACCCGCCCAGACTCAAGAAGAACACGTTCGAGTGCAAGCTGTGCAAGGACAAGGTGCAGCGTTTTGTGTTCTCCTCCTCCTCCTCCTCCTCCTCCTCCTCCTACTCCTCCTCCTCCTCCTCCTCCTCCTCCTCCTCCTCCTCCTCCTCCTCCTCCTCCTCCTCCTCCTCCGTTTGGTGTTGACAGCAAGTTCTCTGAGCGCGTTGTTTGCAGCGCGGCCATGCTTGTCCATGCACACGAGGAGGGGGAGGGCGAGGAAGAGGAGGGAGCGAGAGGAGGAATGGGAGGCTCGGAGGAGGAAAGGATCACAGGAAGAAGGAGGGAGGACGGACGAGAAGAAGAAGGGGTGCCCGCCTCCCGGCGAGTCTCCCGACAGGTCCCGGCGCAGAAGTGGAGAGGGTAGTCTGCCACAGTTGAGCGGCCACTTCCGAGGACTGCATCTGGCGGCGACAGGATGCAACATGGCATGTGGGCAATTCCAAAACCCTGGGCCCAAAAACGTTTTCATCTCTTGGGGACGCATATTTTACTTCCGCAGCCTTCCGCCGAGCTTCCGCCGGCTTCCTCCTGCGGAGGCTGCCTCGTTTATTTCCGCCGACTTTTCGCCTTCTTTACGCCGCCTTCCGCCGCGGAAGAGATGACAACTCCTTCTATCCTCAAATGCCAGGCCCTCTTTGGAACGAACGCCCCATGTAGGCAGGCGAGTTGCGGATGCACGCGACTTCATTATGAATGCCGGAGACTGCAATCATGCGACTGTGTCCCACACGCACTCGGTCTAGCATTGTCAGCATACCCTTGTCGCGACTCATGATTTGTGGTCACAGAGCACAAATATTCAGTGATTTCGCCTTCCAGGCACGAATCTCGCAGATATGTATGCCCTACGCCGCGAAGCTCATGGTTCAGGAGCTCATGACCATGAATATCCTTCCAAGATTGGTTATGCATGTGATCTGAGCGCGGTTGCTAGGCTTGTGTTGCTTCTTTATCTGTTCACCCCAGCTCATTTTCAGCAATGTTGATTGTATTTATCGTTTGCAAGTCCTCGCGGTTGCGGATAGGAGTGAGGATGCGACCGAGCCGCTTTGCTGGGGGCAGATCGGTCAACGAGCCCGGCAGAGAGGGATCAGCCAGCGACCCTCGACGTGCAGGCATCCGACAATCCACGACACGCATGCTCTGCATACACGTCGGCGTGCGTGAGCGCGCCATGTGGGATGGCCGCGGGCAACAGCAGCATGAAGAGTCAGCCCCTTGCGGCTGGCCCCGATCCCTCTCCCCGAAGCACGTGGGGCGGGGGCCGCGGCCGAGGAGGCCTCCTCTTCCTGCCGCTCCGCGGCGAGGGCGGGCGCCACCGCGGTCGGCCAGCGGGCCGGCCACGCCGGGCACGGGCACGCCGGGCAGGTGGACAAGAGGAGGGCTCCTCCTCCTCCTCCTCCTCCTCCTCCTCCTCCTCCTCCAACTCCTCCTCCTCCAACTCCTCCTCCTCCTCCTCCTCCTCCTCCTCCGCCTCCTCCTCCTCCTCCCCCTCCTCCTCCTCCTCCTCCTCCTCCTCCTCCTCCTCCTCCTCCTCCTCCTCCTCCTCGACGCCCGAAATGGGTACTGAAAGAATGGGTACGATGCCCAACAGCAGTTCCTGTTCATTTTGAACAGGGCTCGCTGTCCGCGCCGCCGCGGCCTGTGTCCATTCGAGACAGGAGGCCGCCCGCCCAACAGCGGCCGCTGTTGGTTCGGGACAACATTTGCTGTTGGGCATGTTGCCCCATTATTTCGGTACTCATTGCGGGTGTCCAAAAGGGCGACCGCGGAGGCGGCAAAACGACGCGAAGATCGGGACAAAATCGGATCGGGCTAGCTCGAAATCTCTGAGAATCGGCGGGTTTGGAGGATGTGTTGGGCGCCGCGGCCGCTCCAGAGCGTTCCGGAACGCTCTGAGAGCGCTCGGGAACGCTCTGGAGCGATTTATCCCGATCCTAGCCCTGTTTAGACAAGAGGAGGGCGACCGCGGAAGCGGGCACGCGGGGGGGAGGCTCCGGGCGTTAAAAGTCTTCGCCGCGAGGGGCGCGAAGGCGACCTCGGGCACCGACGGCCGGTGCGCTCGAGGGTGAGCGACCAGTGCGCGCTGCCGGAGGGCAGCGCAGGTCCCACCGGAGAGGCAGGCCGTGGTCAGGAGGCCTCCGCGCAGTGCGCGTCTCAGAAGAGGGGCGCAAGAGGGAATTGCCCGCAGTCGGCGCCGATGTCGTCCCTTGGCTCGAGGCGACGTGGGCAGCCCCTCGGGCGGCCCGTGCGCGGGTCGAGGGGATTTGAGCGGGACGTCGGGGAAAAGCACGAGCAGCAAGAATTTGCGCCACGAGCCGCCATTTCAGCCGCGCACCCAATGACGGCGTAAGATGGTCCGGCCCCATCATTTTGACGATGGTGTTGTCAGGGTGGTGCCACCCCGGGACCCCGCATGACGTGAAATCAGCGCGTGCCGACAAAATCGTATCCTCAATGTGTGTGCCTGTTCTTGTGATTTTAGACGTAGGGCCTTATTATCACAAGGCACGCTTGCGTGGGCGCGCGGGTGCAGAAAGAGAGAGTCGTTGCACCCTACGTCGGCGGACGTCTCCACATTGTTGTCGTAGTCTCGCTCTTTGTTACGTCTTTGCCAATTCCTCCGTTCTTGTCCTGTCGCTCTTTTCATGGAGGTCTGTGTACGTATACCGATATGTATCATCATTCGCAGGTGTATATTGTATGCGTATGTACCGAGTCCCCCGCTCCACTATCTCCACACCTTGCTGGTTTTCGCTACCTGGTCCCACCCGGAAAAAACGCATTACTCGTACTGTACATTCTTGCTTCCCTTAGAGCGTAACGCATTATGCAACGAACCAGATTATGACGACCATTTAAGTGGATCGTTCGTATTCGTGGCATAGATGTGTGTCTTTGCAGGGCCCACATGTTGCCCCGATGCAGTAGGCATGGGATGTATGACCAACAATAATCAAACAGGCAGGATATCAACACCGATGGGCAGACACGTTCGGCACGGCGTTGCGGTAATGATACATATTATGTTGCCCAAAATGTTGCGCGATCTGTGTTCAGCCCGCATGGCGATCGATCGCCAGAAGCTCATCGACTGGCCGCATGATCTTGTTTTGGCGGCCTCACGGGGTTCGAGGAGCAATTCTTGACGCTCCGCGCATCCCCACCAACCCATCCAGAAACGATTGCCAAGCGAGTTGCCCAAGTAAAGGAAGTGTACCACCAGCAGTAGAAGGGCTGCCTAGGAAGCGTGCGCGGGCCGCAGAAGCGACGGGAACAGATGTTGAATGATTGATTGTAGACTCCAATGCCGATGCCGAAGGCAATATTTGAGCGTCTTGGGCGCCTCGGGTATCCTCTCTCTTGGGGGTATATGAGGGGCCTCTTGGGCGCCCCTTGGGCGCCTCTTGGGGCCGTCTGGGCGCCTCTTCGGCTCTCGCTGGGCGCTCTTGGGAGTTTGAGTGGCGCTCTTGGAGCAATCTTGGAAGACATCGATCAAAGAAGGAGAGGGTCGCAATGGGCACTGCCCCTCGAAGGTGCCTAGAATCGCCTCTCGGAGCGCGCTCTTTTGGAGCGCTCTTGGAGCGCTCTCGGGGCCGTTTTGGATGCCCCTTGGGCCCCTCGAAGGTGCCTTCTCAAAGCCATAGGAAACGAAAAGGCGAGAGAACCAACAACCATTGATTCCCTTGAGGTTTGGGGAAGATTTTGGCCGCTGGGCAGCCTCCTGCAGAAGCTCCGCGGCCACCTGGAGCTGTTCTGGAGTGTTTTTGGGACCTCTCGGAGCATCGTGGGGGCCATTTGGAGGCATCTCGGGCTATCTTGAGCCATCTTGGGGGTCATTTTGGGCTCTCTGAGGCGTTCTTGCGGCCGCCTTGGACGATCCAACCCCTCGATGAACCCCCCGTCCAAATCTAAGAGGGGGTGGGGGGGAGGGGTAAATTCCCCCGAGGGGAGAAAGGGGGTTGGAAGAGAAATTTCCTTAGACCACCCATGCCCAGTGGACTGGTGGGATTCTAAAGAAGAGTCACAAGATGATTATAATACTGTTCAGATCACTCCATTCGCTCCAGAACGTGCCGGGTCCCTTCTCGGCACCGTCGTGGGCAATCCAAAGTTTGCCGGGGCTTGTTGGGAAGAGTCGGAAAAATAGGAAATCGTTAAAATTCTTCACGCTTCGCGTATCCCCACCAGCCCATCTCAAAACAGCAACTCTAGCGAAGCATGTCGACAGTCGTGTTTTTCAGGCGTGTTTCCGCCTGCCCCCGCATATCTCCCCTGTTCCTCCTTCCTCCCGCCTCCTTGTACATCCTCCTTGTGGTGGGAGCGGGAGAAGGACGAGGCGGAGGAGGAGGGAGAGAAAGCGCTCCTCGTGGTTTGAGTCGTTCGGGCTTCTCGTCCTGGTGTGAGTCGTTCGGGCCCTTCTTCCTGGTGTGAGTCGTTCGGGCTCTTCGTGGTGTGAGTCGTTCGGGCTCTTCGTCCTGGTGTGAGTCGTTCGGGCTTCTCGTGGTGTGAGTTGTTCGGGCCCCTCGTCCTGGTGTGAGTCGTTCGGGCCCCTCCTCCTGCCCGTCCAGAACGACGCCCAGGCGAGTAGAGGGTCGTCCTGATGGGCTTTTCGGCGTCTTGGGTGCCTCGGGGGGGCCTCTTTGGGCCGTTTGGGATCCTCTTGGGGGCCTCCTGGGGGCCTCTTGGGGCCATCTTGGGGCCCCTTGGTGCCTCCTGGGCGCTTCTTGGGGCCATCTTGGAGGAAGGCGATCAAAGAAGAGGGGAGCTTTCATTAGCGCTGCCCCCTCAGAAGGCCAAAATGGGGCCAAAACCTTAGTAAAATAAATGATTTTGGCTTGAAAGAAGAGGAGAGTTTTAATTAGCGCTGCCCCCTCAGAAAGCCAAAATGGGGCCAAAACCGTAGTAAAATCAATGTGTTTGGCTTCAAAGAAGAGGGTTTTTTTTTTCTCCCCCCCCCCCCCCGTCGGGGCCAGAATCCTCGTGAGGAGTGTCAAATTTTAGCCCTCCCAGGA